TCACTCAGGACATCCATTTTCTGCCTGTAGTCCAGGCATCTGCAACTACAATCCACTGGCATTTTCTGCTTTTAAGTCTTGGTAGAATACATTCATTGTGTATTTTTCTATTTTAATTGGTAGTTTAGATGTTTTGTTTTTGTTTTTTTTTAAAAATGATGTTTCTTCTCTGGTGACCTTCTGTAACCCAAGTGAGATGAACACATTTTAAGGGTTTGTTTGTTGTTCATGATCAGTAGAAGGTTGTTGTAGGACCCAAATAAAGGAGATGGAGCCGACCAGTGAATTTGAAGATTTAATGAAAGAATATGGAAAAATAAACTCACAAAAATCAAAGAATGAACTCAAGCTACCAAAACAACTCAACAACTTGGGAACCCAACAGTTCCTTACAATTTAGATTATTCAAACATATTTCTTTAGATTCTCACATGTTGATAATTGATGAAAATGTACAAACATTGCAGAAAAAAATTCCCATTTCACTCTGGGTCCATGTCCAACACATAGCATCTAGGCCAGGCACTAAGCTGCAGTCAAAACAGAATAAAACAAGGTTTTTGTGTCTTTACAGGTGGATTCATCAAACTGTGCCTTTTTATCATCAAACCGTACCTGAACTTTCCATGTTTATCTTGTTTACAGTGATTTGCCAAAAGATAAACATCCTTTAAAGAGAAGAAAACACTGTGGGTGGTCCATTGCCTACATTTTATGAAGAACCCAAAAGCAGGCTGAAGGACAGAAATGAGATCAGAAACAAGCATTTTAAGCAGAGAAAAGATTTGATAGGTAATAAAAAAATTATAACTAGAAGCCAATGATCGTATAGATCGCAGAAATAAAGAGAGACAGATGAGGAGAGAAGGACTTGGTGTGCAAATAAACAAAAACACCCAAAACAAAATCTGAAGCAAAACGGAATAAATAAAACAAAGGAAAGCTGCAAAAATAAGAAGACTCCTTAAACTTTCAAAAAGATTAACTTTACATGTTATCTTCCCAAATTGGTCTGTTTTTTTGTTTTGTTTTTTTCCTTTTACATATTGATTTTGTTTAAGTGTTTATTGTACATTTTGCTGATGATGGTCTAGGGAATTATTTTGACAGACAGAGTTCTAGTAATGTAGCTGTTGTTATCTGCGTCCTCTTCTCTGCTCTCATGGATGATTCCAGATTAGGAAAAGGTTTTCATCTTTGGAATGCAAATCAAAGAAGTCTCTGCATCTGAAACAGGTCAAAACAAGACAGCTGCATGAAACAGCAAAAAGAAAGATAAGAAAACATACCAAGTGGCATTTTGATGTTATTAGAATTCCCTCAACATTGTGTAATTATCATCAACATGAACTTCAGTCACATTCTACAGAAACACTTTTGATAACCTAATTATTTGATTCAGATGTGTCAGACATCTAAACTTTTGCAGTCGCCTGCCATCACGGACTGAAGTTTGAAACATGTGACTACAGTGACTTTTCCTTATTTAGGTCAGATATGATTACCAAAATTATTTATTTTTGCTAAATGGCAGAAGAATGAGCAAAACATAATAGCCTGGACACGATGCACATCAAAGTCTGACAATGCTCCATTTATAACAGTTTATGAAAAGATAAACAATAAGCCTAACAAAAACAAAATAACTTCATTTAGATGACAAAATATTTTCCAAAATCTCGCCTTTTGAACTAAAGAGAAGGTGGTAGCTCCATGAATAAGACGTAGATATTAAACCACAAAGAATTTCTTTCATCAAGCTCAGGATGATTAAGTTCCACCAAACAGTGAGGCGATCTACAGCTGAGACTCCCACCAAGACGTAAAGCCGCAGAGTCAACTTAGTGTTTTCTCTTGTCCATCAAGCTCCGCGTTTTGCTGATTGGCTGTAACCTTCTGGTGATGGGTGAGTTGGTTTTGGCACGGATGTGACAGCTGTAACTGCACCCTGAGCCACCTTTTCTCAACCTCTGAGATACACATATGCAGTCATATATCATGATTTAACCTTACACCACTGGTCAACTGAGGGTGGTGTGTGCGAAATACAAAAAATACCAGCATTAGAACAGATACAGTGCATTGTAAAAGTGTCACTACCCCTTACATTTTTCTATATTTCATTTGATTATATCATACTGGGACTTTTCGTCCCAATATGACGTATGCATTAAGTACGTCGCTGACAAACGTTAGCGACTCTTTAGCGATTTCTCCTCTGCTGAAGTTTCAAACTTCAACAGAGTCCATGCCATTTTTTGTTCTCAAAACATCAGTTTTTAAACTCTTTGTTTTCTGTTGGAACAATTTAAAACTGCGTGTGAAGTGAACTGAAGCTTTTTTTCTCTTCTATTTTTGAACCTCTTGCTCAAGATTCAGAGGAATTCACCTCTCAGTGATGTCAAGGACGTTCAGATATTTAAGCTGAAGGTACAACTTCTCCCTGCGAAATCAGAAGCTACCACAGGCATTACAATGACCCCACATTTGTGTGCGTAAGAGAGTAAGACGAGGAACCCAGTGACGTGCTGACAACCTTGTTATCTGTGGAGTTTGTGCTGTACACAATGAAGCTCTGTTCTCCCCAGTGGTTGGTTCAGACTGAGGCCAGCCAGGGACTCTTCATCCACTGCAGCCTCTAGGATTCAACATGTTCACCACATTTCCACAAAGCTGAGCAAGCATCAATTATACAGGATTATCTGTTTGTAGATGTCAGGCCTCAGCAAAACATTTTGTATTGGCTGTAAACAGTAGATGGCCTGTTTAAATGATCATTCATTTTTCATACAATTTCACAATGGCTTCCATACGTACGTCATCAGGCTCTTCTTCAGCAAAAAAAAAAAAAAAAAGATCCTGGAAGAAAAACAACAAGTAGATTCAGTCATTTAAAATCACCTGAAAACAATAGTTCAAAAAGCATTTAAAGGGTTATCTTCATGTTTTTCTCCAGTGATGAGACATCTCAGAATCAAGTGGCAAGCTCAACAACTATGGCAGACCTGGGACCTTCAGATGCTATAAGACTTTATATGGACTTTATTTATTAATTTCAGCATTAAATGTGTGCGAAATACTTACAAGATGTGCTTGGTATAAAGCAGCTTAATATGTCTAACACTAAATATGCAGTGCATTTCAAAAAACCAACCAAACAATTTTTCACTTTTCCACATTACAACCATAAACTTAAATGAACTTTATAGAAACCTCTGATAGAGGTCCTGATAAGCAATATTAATGCTTTCAGTAAAAGAAAATGGTTAAAATAGTGACAAAGAGAAGGAAATGGAGGCCCTCCTGTTTGTCTTCAAACTTGGTCCTAACATGAATAAATCCACCTCTGCCAGGTGCACACATAAAAAACAAACATTTTCTTGCTTCTTAAAGGTTACACCCTCTAATCCGTTCATTTCCTTGGCTGTCTGTGCAGACAGCGTGGTCACCTATTTAAACAGCAGAACCATGCAGTGCTGCACTTTATTTGGACTTTTATTCTTCTGCTGAATCCTTTATCAGTACCAATGTTGTCTTTTATGGTGACAGTTCCCTCAGAGGTAACAGATAAGGCCTGGATCTGGATTTGATTGCCTCATTCATCCTGTCTATGGACATCATGGTTAGATCTTCTATATTATCATTTCATGTTGAGTGGCGAAAAAGGTGGTGTGAACATAAATTGCTATATTTCTAGTGGGATCTAAACCATTTTCTGGCTTATTTTTTTAATTTAGTATACTGTATCTTCCACATATAAACTTCCAAATTAATGTGATTTAAATGGGAGGCATTATTTCATTAAAACATTTCCCACACTTGGAGCATTTGTCTTGCAGCGCCTTCTGGTGGTTGAAATGTAGGTTCAAGCTGACACCTTAGTTAGGAGAGGTTTATTAAGCTCAGCTCATGAAGAAATATGACCATCACCAGCGGCCAATAAATGCAAATTGAGATGAATGACTAATTCACTGCCTTCTGAGAGTTTAGTCGCATTGAACCTTTATCTCTAACACATTCTGCATTTATTTATTTCCTCTTTTTTGTTCTCGCCTTGAACCAGCAGTGACTAACATAAACCTAATATCTCAAGTCTTTACCACATACTACAGTATGACAAAAATATTTCTAAAATTAGATGAAAATTAAATCTTCTCTCATTTCAATAAAACAGAAAAAAGGGGATCTAGTTTACAGCTTTAAGGTCTTATTGCTCATTTCACAGCATTTTAATAAGAAACCTGCCACCCAAGTATGGTTTAGTGCAAACATAATGAAAAAAATGACAAAATTATAACAAGTCAAACTGAATGTAAATGGCAACATGTCTGTCCTGAAAAAGCCTGAGAAAACTGCTTTCATCTAATAAAATATGCAGACAGGTTTGACACATAATTGATTTTATTTCAGTTGTGCGTGAATAAGACATTCTGAGAATCAAATTTATGCCAGAAGGAAGGTGGTAACATAAACAAAACCCAGAGCAAACTATATGTAAAAATACACAGATGCCGGTTATCAAATCTACATGATTATGATTTATGTGATGACTGATTTGTAGTGAAAAAAGTGGTAGTTCTTAAACGGTAAAAACATGGTTATCTTTTCACCCCAAATTATATTGGATTAGATATTATCCATGAGGTAGTGTCAGATAACATTTGCTGTCAATAATATTGAGTCAATGTAAAAGCAAAAGGAGCAACAGTTCATTTTATTTAAAACGGATACAGGGAATGTTCTTGAACTGCTCTGAAGGAAGACTAACAGGATCGTTTTGCAGGTTTAAGAGGATGTCCACCACAGACAGTGAGACACTCTTTACGCTTCAACTGAAAGTCATCCAAACAGGGGCGTCCCACTTTGGCTTTTACACTAAGGCCCAAAACACAACGCAGAAATTATAGCAAATTGAACAACAAACAGGATTTCAAATACTAAATTTTATGCCACCACAAAACCATCCAATGATCTATCAATCCAGGACAGAAATTAGAAGGTTTTTTTTCTGTTTTCCAAACCTGAATCCATGATAACATCATCCACCAAGAGTTATTTGTCAACTGTCAGCTTGAAATGAGGGGCCTCAATCTGAGAGAGAGAGTTTGCCTCCCAGATCTTTTCCAAGCACATGGGTTGATGAGGAGTGGCACCTTTGGGGTCTCCTGGTAATTAACTTCAAGTCTAGCTTAATTCTTTGCTTTGCACCAGCAGGGTTTCCTAAAACAAAACATAATTCAACATTTCACTTTTAAGTAATGGATACAGTTAAAACAGTTTCAGAAGCATTAAATGTATGCAGATTTTTTTCACATTATGTTTTAATTCACAAATACACCAAGCAAGAAGAAGCTAAAGGTCTTTACAGAAATCATTAACATGGACATGGACTTTATCTTATTGTCAGCACAGTGTCACCTGTTAAACATATGAAGCAGACTCCTTCATTTAGTGCCGTTGTACTTGACTTCCTTTCCACATTTCTTCAGCGTCTCCATGAGAACGTCCACATCTTTGTCCGACTCAATCCAAACCAGCTTCTTGGGCAGGTCGATCTCAAACTTAACATCTGAGAGGCAGAAACAGAAGTAGAAACGATGTTTGTTCCACTGACTGGAAACAAACAGAAATTCCTCTTTTAATTCCTCTTTGCTTCTCTTTCTAATATGAGTGAAAGATTTTTCAGCCCTCTTTGACATGACTGTGAAGGAGGATTTGAAGAATAGATTTTCTTTTATCTTGTTGAAAAATCACAGCTTAGCATGTGGGACTGGAACACAATGGAAAAAGGGAACTGAAATTTGGCTTCTAAACAATTTAATGACCAAGTCAAATAAAAGTGAAACAAACAAGCTGTTCAGCATCAGGTGACCGAGCGGCTGAGTCAACACTCGGAGCAAAGAAGTCACGAGTGGAGGCGATACAAGCTGCCTGTAAGCATTTCTTGATTTGTCTCCGGCATGCAGTGTTAAGGATCCGTTTGCATTGATATGAATTACCTTCTCACAAAACTCAAATTAGGACTTGTTTGCACAGAACTGCAAGTTGTCATAAAACTAAATATAATTCGGTATCTAGACACACGGTGCTTTTAAAACGTACTTTACCATGGTTATGCCTGAATTTCCCCAATGTGGGACAATAAAAAGTTTTGCTATTCTAATAATTATTCACAATAATGGATGTTTTACCATTTTATTGTTTTTACAAATCTGTAATGATCAGCAAAATATGGATATTATGACAAAAAAAAACCTTGCCAAAAAAAATCCAGTTTAATGACAAAGTGAAAATGAATTTGTACAAAATAAATAAGAAAAAAAATATTACATAGAATAAGAGAGCAACAACTTTCAATGAATCTTTTATGTTGCTATGAAGGAACTTTGGCACAATCTGGTTTGCAGAATCATTTTTAATTGCAGAATTTTTAAGCATGAATGGCTTGTGATTAATGCTACAACGTTTAATTAAGATTTAAGTCCAGACTTTGACTAGGCCATTTGTAAAACTACAATGGCTTTCATCCATTCAGAAGGGGGCATTTCAGAGTGTTTTGGATCATTGTCATCCTGCCTAACCATTGCAAATGCATTTTCACACAAAGTCAATCATAGAACATCTCCCTAACGATTTCCTCTCCATTTCCTGTTTAGATGTAATGCTTTGTAATTTCTGTCTTTTTTGTTTCTTCTTCAATTGTAACGAGTTCTGTGTCTTTTTATGTTATTAGTTTTTTATTTTCCTTTTCATCTCCTGTAAAACACAAACTTCCTGCACAACATTTTTAACATCGATATTATTTGTAAACGTGTTCATTTTGTGCAGTTGACGAGTGCCACAAAACAATCAGAAGGAATAAGAGGTGAAGCTATGCCAGTGCTTTCAGTGAAACCAGAAATGAAAGTGGAACGGAAGATGACAGATGTGCAGGTCTTATTACCTCCAAGCTTGTTGAGGATTCTAGTAACGGCTCCAGAGCATCCTTCACAGGTCATGTCCACCTCAAACTCGTGCTTCTGTGACAGACAGAGAATTTATTTACCTGTAAATTTAGAATTTCATGATGAAAAGAAAACTACTGCAATAAAGTCTGAGAAAAACAATTTAAGATGATTGAAATGTAGCAATTTTCAGCAAAAGGTTAAGGAAATTTCTTTTGAAGTACATTTGAACTTGGGGATTATATTGACTCTTTGATATTGTTCTAATTTGTTAAGAAGTACATTTGTGGTTCTTTAAAAACAGGTTAATTATTGATTATTTCATCTACCACGTCTATAGTGGTAGATGAAGTAAAAAAAAAAGGTCATCATTTTATAAGAAAGAAGACAAAAAATTATCTAATTGGAGGTGGGTGGTAATCTGACATTCCTCAAGCAAGCAACGTAAAATAGAACAAAGTCTAAAAATACAAATGTTTTCAAGTATACTGGTCCAGACACAAACATATTTACAGCTAAATCCCAAAATTCCTAGACATTATAGCAACCTTGTTCCCCTTTATATGAACCAACTACAACCCAGAATATCATCTGTTGTGATGACGGCAATTCTTAAACATTCTTTATGCTAAATGAACTGGCTTATTATTTTAAGAGTGGCTGTTACATAACCCGTGACTAATAACGGCCCAGCTGAGGAAGTATGGAGTCTTAGTTTGTTGATGGCTAAACTAAAAGCATTTGCCACGTACTAAAGCTAAAAGACGTCCAGGAACAAGCTGAAATTACTTAAAAGTAACTCACAGTCATATTGTCAGTGACGTGTCGCGCTTAGCGAGCTGACCAATTCTGTTCTTTTGATTTTTATCAACTTGGAAATGTCGCAAAAGACTACATAAACCTAAAAAAAGGATACTACCTGCCTGATTGACCACTTTCAAGCTAAGTATAGCAGCATAACAGGATATCCGGTATTGAAAGGGTGTAAAGTAATAAAAGACAATGTACAGTGAAGAATTTTGGTTTGCTTATAAAAAAAAAAAGTATGTTGACATATTACGTATTGGCATATGAAGTTCAAGCAAAACATGTTAAATTAAATAAAACAATAAGACGTAGAGCTACACACTTCTGGTGTGCCAAGTTTTCATTTTATTTTGAAAAACTTTACGGAAGCCATTCAGTTATATCAAATAAATAAATATGTGTCCAACATTTTCGAGTAAAATCTTAAAAAACTTGTATCAGGGTCTTAAACTCCTATCTCTTTTAGGCACTTTGGGTTAATGGTTCGCCCGAAAATAGTTTTTAAATTCTCACTGACCATATCATCCTAACCGTGTCTCTCTATGGCGCTGATCCTAACCGCTTTTGTTTTTCGAAATAAAAGCTTTTTAAATTATATTACAATAATAATAAAAAAAATAATAACAACATTACTTTGGAAGAAAGCAGTGCAAACTCTGTAACATTTATTCATTTAGCTAGTTGTGCCAAAATCTGCTAATATTATAGTTATAATTTTCGTTTCCCTCAAATGCATGATAGATAAAAAACCGAAAACGTCCTTATTTTACTGGAGAGGTTTCCGTCTCAATAACAAGAGAACGTCCAACGTAGCCGGTTGCGTAGGCCGGGAACTCGTGTCATGTGACCTCGTTGCTGGCTTGCTGAACACAACCGAGTTATAGGTCGCAATCTGTGAACAGGACCTCGGTCAGCGCTCTTTTTCAACAGTGATAGGAGCGTAGGAGCTCCTTCGGCCAGGTCATCCAGATAAAGGCTGAAGCAGGAAAGCAGAGGGACGGAGGCCGAGATATATCATTAAGGTATGCTGGTTTGTTATGATGACCCGAACTGCTGTTTACGAACACAAAGATGGCATCGAAACCTTCAGCTAATGTTGGCTAACGCCATCTGGTTGCGGTACACCAGTTTAGTCTCTCTATACTCTACATTCTTGATGTTTTATTAAGTGACAACGTCTGAAGCTGGCAATTCAGTGTATCTCATATTTAAATGTACATCCCACCCTGGCGACTTCCTAGCTTTGATTTATCCCGGCCGGTACCTTTAGCCCGTGGCAGTTCGTTGTCTCAAAACATGATTCACTTGATCGTTTTCCCGTTTATCAGCTTCATGTCCGCTTTGACAACCTGCACGTCTTCCTGGCCAAAGACTACCGGCAATATTGATAGGATTACCGTGTTAATCTGCATACGGTCTGCAGCTTGTATGTCTGCTTGCTCTCATGAAAGGAGAACGACTCTCACTGGAAAATGTTTTCAACTGGAAATTAAGTCTTACACAAAGTTTCTGTGGTTTGGCCGCACCCTAATCTGACAGCGAGTTATCTGATTTAAGATTGGGATATAGTTTCTCTTTTTATTTTATAGAAGTTTGACCCCAAAGATCAATGTTTTCACCCTTGTTGCGTGGATTAATGCACACATCTATTAGCTCAAGGTACGTGCTTAGTCATGATCTGGTGTGACTTTCTGAAAGCAGGATGATCTTCAATAAAAATAAGACTGTATCATGGAAAACGTTAAACAACATTAAAATGTCCAACATGATTATATCACTGTTATTATAAAATAAAAACAGCAATTCCTATTACTAAAACACTTTAACATTGATGATTTAATCAATTTTATAATTTTTACAATGTTATGTATACCTTTTAGTCATTTCTATTTTCATTCTAATCATAAATGTAGAATAAGCTATGTGCTAAATAGCAGACATACTGCGTTTAACTTCCCAAATGTAGTTTTTCAAACATTGCCTTAACACGAATAATGGATGGCCTCCACACAGCATGATTCTGCCACCACTTATTTTAGTTTCCACTTAATCCACTGTTTTTTGCAATCAGAAAAGTATACAAGCTTTTACAAATTTAGCTCTTGTAAGCAAGAACTAAAATTGTTATTGTAATCAGGAGCAAGCAATATTCTAAGGGTTGGAAACTGCTACTTTTTAAAATTTCAGTATATTGTTTTTAAAGACAAATGCCTACATAGAGAGAAGATAAAGACATAGATTTGTTTTATCATTCATTAACAATTTGATGGTATTTCCCCTGTAACCTGGGTTATGGAATCTTCTGAAATAAATACAATCATTTAAAAATAAAAAAGGTTTTAACGCTACATTTCCATCTCCCTGGAATTTGTAATTTTATTTTTCTTTCACGGTGGATTATTTTTATACATTCTGTCATGCACACACAGTCTTGCCACACCAGGGTCCTCGGCAGCTACTATTCTGCAACTTTAACTGCATCTCATTTCCAGCACAAAGTGGCTGAATTCCCTCACCAGCAGATTCTTCAGCTCTTTTAACCAGCCATTCGTTTAATGTGTGTGTTGGAAAAGGGATACATGTAAAAGTTGCAGTGTAGTTGCACTTAAGAACTCCTGTGTTAGACTTTAGCTTAGAAAATACTGCTTTGTTACACAGGAAGTTGTGGTTTAAAAATTCCTGTTTGTTCCTGATTTCTTAACGGTTCTGCTTGCTAAATATGCAAACAGGTTGTTTCCTAAACCTTTTGACTTTTGTCTTTTTTGCAGCTATAAACAGACAGGTGCTCAGCAGAATCTTCAAACAAAGTCCTGTTTAATCACACAGCAGATGCCAAACGGGATCTGTTTGAATTTCCATCCATTGTGCTCGTCTTACATAACATCTGGATTTATTTGGCCTGGATACTCCCTGATAGTGACTGCAGGAGCTTTAAAGATGGGAGAGGCACTTAGAGATTAGCACTCTATTTCAGTGGATCAGATAAATGCAATTGGGGCCTGGTAGGAGGGTATTTTTCTTTGCCAAAATGTGTGAAATATTAGACCTGCTTGAACAGGTGCAAGCTTCGTTTCCATTCAAAAAAGAAAAAAATGAAGTTTAGCATAAAATCTACTAAAACACACAGAATATTTATATTTTCATTGTGCTTTGATAACTGGAAAAGTCAGGTTATTTTGATTTTACCTGCAGATGAAAAATAATTAAAATTTAGTACAACAGTAGAATATTTAAGGTGCTTTTTGGTCAATTTGTGCTACATTTACCAAGATCAATACTTCCTTAGCACTTTGCTTTTTTTCTCTTGCTTCAAGAGAAATAGTGAAAGGTTATAATTTACTGTGCAGGTGTTTTTTTTTTTTTTCCTTTTAATCATGTTCTGTTTACATATATTGAGTCTGTTCTGTTCCAGACACATTCTGTTCAGTCATCAAGTTTTTTCTCCACAGGAACATTCAAATATAGAATAAGGACCGTCATGGTCAGGTCAGGTGCTGAGCTCAGCATTCTGATAACAACAGTTCTGGCATAAAGAAGCATGTGAGGTCCACGCTCACGTTCTGTTTACATGTTCAGTTCTGACAGGAAGAAGTCAGTAAATTGTCAGAAACTTTGCTCTAATTATTATGCAGTTCTTTTAATTCATGGTAAAGAATTTTAGACTTTTATAGACGTTGGAAAAGTAGGACTTTTATACTTTCTCCACTGTTTTTGCATCCTATCTAAGATGCAGTTATTAATGCAATATTTTACACAATCTGCTTTTGCGCTGGAACTTCTTCGTGTTTTCTTGGAGTTGCTGCATCTAATCATCGCCATGTTTTCACAGTTAGAAGCTGTCGATGCTGAGCCGTTTATCCGTGCTGCGTCGGGATCCGTGAGGCTGGGAGAAACGACACCCGTTCACCCGCGAGCGCCACCTGACCCACCATGATGGCATCAAGCGACGTGGATGGCAGAGCAGACGGTAAGGAATATGTAATCAATATCATAAAACTTGGAAGGTGAAATATTCTTTTTGTTGTTGCAGTAGGAGACAGAATGAACTTGGTCGCAGACAGATTACTTGTAATCCCATTGAATCATCAAAGCAGCTTTCGTTTCATTGATGAGATCGGTCTGATGGCCTGGCTGGCTTGTGTCTTCTTCGGCAGGAGGTCACAAATGTTTGTTTCATTATTACGTGTATATCTCAATGAATTATAATATCTTTAATAAGATAATTAATTTAAGAAACTAAAGTTTTTAGTATACTATGCTGCCACAAAATATCGGGACAAAATTCTAAGTCCATGACGCTCACCCATTTTACTGTACGTTTTTCCTTCCACTTAACCTTTCTTGAATATACCGTGACACAGCACTTTGAAAACAGAAACCTTCTTTAGCAATGGCATTTTGTGGCTCAACGTCTTGTGGAGGGTGTTGGTAAGTATGTGTTGAACAGTCTAGTTATTAGTCTTCCCCATCACATAATATTCTTGTATATTAAATATGCTTTTTAATGCTCCAGTGTGATAAATACAAATATTCAGAATTTTAGCTTGTCATTACCAATAAGAATGACAGAGACAAATGGAGCATTTTAGGTTTGCATGTTTATTAGTCTGGTCAGTGTTGTAGATTAAATCTCTCTGTGAAACATGTCTTACTTTTCTGAGTAACATGAGACAACAGTTTGATAGCGAAGTTGGGCCTAAAATGTTTTTAGTAGGGTGCCTCCAAAAAGAATCTTTTTTTTTCAGTCTATATTCATTTAACTCAAAACTTTTTGAGTTAAAATGTAGCTTTTGTTCTTCACACAATTTTCAAACACCAGCAAACTTAATTTTCTCATTTCAAACCTCCGACTATTCTTGTTGTGCCAGAGTCACGAGTATCAACGTTGCTGTTTTAATAAACAGGTTTCTGACTGGTTGGATGCTTTAAAGATGGACCTCCCTTTCATTTTAAAGTCCGTCTTCACACTGTGATGACAAATTCTTTGTTCCAATGTAGCTAACGAACTGTGCTGATTTTCTGGAGTCGAGCTGCTGCTGCTGCTGCTGCTGCTGCTGCTGCTGCTGCGGCTGCGGTGACCCGTCTGGTGTTTTTATTGAAAATATGTCAGCAGGCATGCATCAGTCTGCAGCTGCAGAGCTTCTTATTGTTGTTCCTTTTCTGCATGACCAAAAAAGAGTCTTGTGTTTCTAGTTCATTAGAGTCAGCTGCCCTCCAAAAGGACTGGAATCTCTGCATTAAACTGGTTTCTGATGAAGTCATGAGGTTTCAGTTTATCTATTTTTATGAGCACTGACCTCGGTGCACACTAGATATCAAACAAATGAGGTGGTAAACTTCCAGCAGAATGAATGTATCTGTATTTTCTTCCCTCTGCATGCTCAGCGTCTAAACGTATCTTCAGTTTTGAATTGAAACGTACGTGTGGGATCTCTTGTGAACCGCAAATAGAATAGATTATTTCCTGTAAATAGGTTTGTCACATGACTTCTCTTACATGAAAGAGTTGTTTGTGGTGAACCTGCAAGCAAGACCTCGACGCAGTTGGATGTAAAGATATGAAGAAACATGGAATATATTTCTGTTAAAGATCAATAAAGATTTGTGCCAAAGTTAACATACTCCCCATCATTGTCATGAATTGTTGGGAGAAGTGATCAACTTGCTTAGCAACATTTCAGCAACTATTAGATTTAATTTTGTGCTTGTAATTTCTGTATTTATCACACTTCATGTATTCACTAAAGTTGATTGATGTATGTTATCATTTAATCATAAAAAAATAATTAAAAGCCTGAAACTAATAACTTTCATTCCCACCATGAGCGGATGGAAATGTTTACACAGACCTTATTTTCTAGCTTCACACACTCAGCCCAAACTGTGTGGTTTACATGCAAAAGGGAGTAATTTAAGAATAGAAAAAGAAAAAATATAATTGTGTTACGTGCTGTTGACTGTACACATAAGTATATGAGTATAAAGTTGACAAACATTTCAATATGTATTTATTTTCTAGAGCTCTAATTGTCTTCTGTAAATGTCTTTCTCTTCACTCGTTTCCTCTGTGTGGCAGGTTCTCTCTTCTCTGACCAGAACCCGTCAGAACTGGACGCTCTGTGTCCGTCTCCTCCTGGGCCATCCAGACCCCAGCGGAACTACGAGCGGATCGGGGGAAGAACAGGGACCTCGTGAGTGAAATGCATTCAAACATTTCACTAAGAACTGTCACTCAGAACAGCTTCTAAGCTGTTTTTTTTTCTGCCATTTTTCAGTTTCTGTCAGACTCTGATCCACCTTCTGAAGGGGAACATCGGTACTGGTCTGCTGGGCCTGCCTCTGGCTGTCAAGAACGCTGGACTGGTGGTAAGCACAAAGATGCTACTGTCCAATCGTTCCAGGTAAAACCAGAGGCCTGGCCTTTAAAAATTAGATTCTGCTTACGTCCCTTTCAGCTGGATGAAAGACAGAGACGCAGCAGTGGCACTTTGCAGACTTTCAGAGGCACCTGGTATCAAAACAAAACATCTACAATTGCATTAAAGCAGGGGTGTCAAACTCCAGTCCTCAAGGGCCGCTGTCCTGCAACTTTTAGATGTGCCTCTGCTGCACCACCCCTGAAAAGAATAATTAGGTCATTAGCAAGGCTCAGGAGAACCGATCTACACAGGGAGGAGGTAATTAAGCCATTTCATTCCACTGTTTTTTACCTGTGGCACATCTAAACACTGCAGGACAGCGGCCCTTGAGGACTGTAGTTTGACACCCCTGCATTAAAGTGACAAATTGTGGTCGATGTAATAAGAAATCTTGATTGTGCAACAATTAAAGAGGAATCTATTTGCATGTTGTTCTGAAGAATATGAAAGTCACTTCATACATCAAGATAATCAAGACATCAGTTTTCAGTTTTGTTCTTATAAGATCGAACTGGTGACAAGTTTATTTTTGCCAGTCAGTCAATTCATGGTTTGCTCAAAAAAACTGTAAAAATGCCTGTTTTATAGCTATTGAATTTCTAATAATTATATGGAAACTTCATGCTGTTGTAAAAGAGGAGGTTCATCTTCTCTTTAAAATATAATCTCTCAGTTCAACACAGCATCTAGTTTTAAATTAGAACATTGTATCTTCAATGTTGGGAGTTAAGTACCAGTCCTTGCATTCATTTATGTATTTTTGTACAAATTGTTACAGTCTAATCTGATATTATAAAGTTTTTTGTGCTTCAAGCATTTTATTTCTGAGGGCAAAATGTTCTTGACATTTGTCCTGCTTCTCAACAGAAACAAGAGAAGAGTCTTATTCTATTCACCTGTCAGTAGTCACAATGCTGTATATGACTTGTTTAGTCCTGGTGGTGTTTGATCACATAAGCTGTTTTAGTATGGGTATATGCTAATTGTTTTATTTTATCCTTTAACTTTTTCTGTTTTGGTTGTCAGAATGTAAATAGCACATGTTTCATATCAGAGGTTTGCGTTTCAAAGCTCTATGAGCTACTTTTATAGAGTAGTTGTCACAATGCCTCAGAAAAAACTAATGCACAGACACTCCTAATCTGTCCTGTTATTTCTTTTGAAGTAAGGATAATTGTATGCCTGCTACAAAACTCTGGCTCCTAGGAAAAATATTGCAGCTCTTTTTCTCTTTTCCTACAATAAGTGGTTTAAAAAAAGTTTTTAACAATTCAAACTTGTTCAGTCACACAGCATGCCAAACTAATTACTGATTAGGACAGTGGAGTTAAGTTCCCAGAGCATATTGCCTCTACCCTTCAATCATCTCATTTGTATGTTTTTAAGTGCAGCAGTGTGTGTAAGTGGCTTCCTTGTTAAACTAAACCACGCCTAAACTTCTCATGTTCTGGCTTTGTTGAAGATGAGACGAGGCTGAGCAGGACTGATCATGTTTCAGCGCTCCAGATTTCAAGTCTGTTAAATTCCTGTCTGCATCTTGAGAACATGAGCTTTTGAAACACTGAATGGTTTCCACGTAGGCTTTCCTTACGTGAAAACCACATAAGCAAAGCCTTGCTTGTTAAGTTTTGTTTATATTTTAGAACCACACATTTAAGTTTGTGTTTAGAGTTTAGATGCTCTGAGTATCACTTAACTTGAAGCAAGTAGGTTCTTGCTGCAAGTTAAGTGCTACAAGAATCCTAGCCTGGGTTCTTTTTGCATTGAGTTTGCATGTTCTCTCTATGGATTGGTGGGTTCGCTCCATGTCCAAACACATTACTATTAGCTGAATTTGTTATTTGGTTATTTAATTATAACACTTGTTCAGTTTGTCTGCTCATCCTTAAAAGTTAATAAGTTCATGTGTGTTTTTTTTTTAAATTAAGGCCTTAAAATATCTTAAATTTATTTAAAAAGGTAAGTTGGCCTTTAATTCATTAATCATTGGTCCTAAATGTTGTTTTTGCCAGAACTATTTATTCTTGTATATTCTACATTTTTTTTTTTCTCACTGGACTTTTCTGTCAGTCAAACGTTTGAGTGGCACTCAGACATCATCATTTCATTCAGTGGTTCCAAACATTTGAGGCTACCGCTAACTCACTGCTAACATACCCTTTCTAGATAGCTAGCAAAAACTAGGTAGATAGTTAACTTTTTTGCATCTATCATGGATAAGTGTAAATCTATCGGCTGTTAGCTGGACAATCTTTAAACGTTTCTGTAGAGATATAGACTACCATTCCTTTAATGGTAGTCTTAAAAAGTCTTAACTTTGAATTGGTGAAACCTGCAGAAACCTAGATTATTTATCCAGCTCCGTCTTCTTGTTTCCAGCTTGGACCCGTCAGTCTCCTGGTTATGGGAATCATCGCAGTCCACTGCATGATGCTCCTGGTGAAATGTTCTCATCACCTCAGCGCAAAGTAAGTAAAAACTATATTTCAGCCGCACGTTGAAAGTCAACTACTGGCATTTAAAGTGGGCTTACGTTAAACATTTTCTTGTGTAAGGTTTCACACAGGAGGGTGGAGAGCAGATGCAATTTAATGCAATTAATTTAACCCCATAAGTGATTCCACTTATGTGCACACCTTAAAAGGATGTTTGGTTTCCATGCTCTACTCAGAAAGCAGCTTTTTTCTCTGTTTTAGATTGTGTTTATTTAACTTTCTGGTCACTGTAACTGAAACCTAAAGATGCATTTCCTGTCTGTATCAGTCGCTCAGTTCAGACTTGTTTGGCTCATTGTGTGTTTTGCCAGCTCCTGTTGACAGATTACTTTCCAGTAGGTCTCTATTTTCTGCTCAGTAATCAGGAGCCCTTTGGCAGCTCGTCGTGTGTGTTCTCACACTTTCGTCAACACTGCCAGACAAATCCCAAACACCATGTATATGCTGAATGTAATCAGCTCGACTAATCAGAAGCTGGGAGTTGTGCTGCTGCTGTTTTTAACATTCCTTGCCGCTGAACCATTAAGTCCCTGGGGGTCCTGTATGTTAGTGAGGTGTTGTTGTGTCTTCACTAGTTTGCAAGCTGCAGCCCATGCTCCATCTGTCCACCTTTGCTGAGTTCATACAAAGATCTCCTGTACCCTGGCCACTCGGGTTAAAGGAGATTAACCGGATCAGAAGCATGAATGAAGACAGTCTTCAAGGAAGTCTAAAAGGAAGTCAGGAAATGCGTCCATTTCAGTCTGAAATTGCCCAACAACTACGTTCAGGGAAACTTGACTCTTCTGTTTTCTTTAATGCAGAGTCATCACTTCCTCTCATAGAGAACCAAACACAAACACTGAATTGTATGTTTAAATATTTACCTTTATGTAGGTGGAAAAAGCATTCGTCCAGTGATTTCCATTTCTTGGTTTGTTGTTTCTTTCCAAACCTTAATTTTTAAAGCTGTGCTGTATTATTGGGTTCATTTCCTGCCAATTGTTCCGTACTTTTCAGTTACAGAGCAACATTTTCTACATTTAGTTTTCACTTTCTTGCTCCATTTGCTGTTTTTCCTAGGATGAACCGGCCATCTATGACCTACGGAGAGGTGATGCAGTACGGGATGGAAAACGTGTCGTGGCTGAGGAGGCATTCACGATGGGGAAGGTGAGAGGAAAAAGAAACAGTTACGATGTTGATGTCTTTACTCAAACCCAGGAATATCCCAGGCAAAGTTTTCCTATTACACAAAAAAATAAATGTACTGTCTCATCAGAAAACTTTGATTGAAGTCGGTGAAAATTTACTATAATTTTTTTTTTTTTATGAAATAAGCAGATGCATGTTGAAAAGAAAGCAGACACTCTTCTACTCCCTTCTGAAATCAAGGGTTTATTTATCAACGCATGAGAAAAATAATCTGCTTTAGGCATAAACCTCAGGAGAATTACTATGGTTTCATGGTATTTAAGTATAAAATTTGTAACAAAATGTTGAACATGATATAAATATAATTGTTTTTTACTGAAAACAGAAAAGAAGTGGTAGTTCATGCTACTAGAAAACTTAGAATACCTTATCACACTGTTTATTTTGATTGTCTTCAGCAAAATCTTATCTTGAAATTTATTACATTTATTTGTAGTTTTAAAGTGTTTTTTGCAAAGAAATATTGTAGTTATTGTCCTTGTGTGTTTTTTTAAGAGTAAAACAAATGTAACAAACTAAATTTAGTTAGTCCAAGCAAAACAAAGAAGATAATCTAAAGTTACGAAAGCTTTAAACTTGGTAAATAATGGCTGACATGTGACTGTGCGCTTCCCCTTCTGTCTCTTGTTTCTCAGTCGGACGGTGAACTTGTTCCTCATCATCACTCAGATTGGCTTCTGCTGCGTCTACTTCGTCTTCCTTAGTGACAACCTCAAGCAGGTTCTCACCACTCACACACATACACACCTTACCACACCTGCTTTTACATTCAGAACCGTCTCTCCTGCTGCTCCCACATGAGAATATTTAAGGATAATATTTGCCCTGTTGGCATTTCAGGTCACCTTGTCCGCTGATATTAAATCACCTGAACTCCTGGATTAGAAAGAGCAGAAATGTAGACATACAGAGCTGGATCTCTTTACTCAGATCATCAGCTTTAGGTTTTCTCAGGTCGAACAAAGACACCTTTACTTAGAATGGAAGTTTACAGAGTTTTGAAAGGATCTGTTTGCGGATCCTATCATTCAAAGGTTATACAGATACAAGTTAGAAGGTCAGTACCAGCTATTGGTTTTGCCTTAACAGCAGGACTAGGTGGAAAAACCCAGGAAATGCTGGTTGAATTCCTCTTCAGGTTACAAAGGATGTTCAGATTTCGCATTATAAAATAATAATGATTAAAAATATCCTCACACTCTCACTCATTTATGTAGTATTTATCCCTTTAGCTTTAACAAAAAGCATTACATTGTCCTCATCAGTAGAAAACATTATAAAACATCTCAATGTGTGCCCATTTTCCTGCTCACACGTTTAGATTTCATCCTGGTTGTTAATTAACTCTCAGTTGAGGAAAATCTGAATGTAATCAAGAAAACTTGTTCAACTTTTTTTCTCCTTTTCTCAAAAGCGTGTGATGAAATATGGTTGCCGTGACGTCACAGGAATGAGTTGACCTTTGACTTCTGAACTTTTCACTACAAATCAATTTTTTGTTTGTCTGGAATTTTTTAACAGGCTTTAGAAACCAATGCGTGATCATTTTATTTGCCTTACAATCTTTAGGAACTAGTGAAAAATGCTTCAGTATGATAACCGCTGACATTTCTGATGAAGAAGCATGGCGTTTAATTCTTGTTGTGCATCTTCTCACCACTAGAGGGTAGCATCCTTTCGTTAATTGTCTATGAGAGGTACTATTTTTCTCCTGTAGAAGACATTCAATGAAGCTTATATTTTTAGATTAGATTTGAATTGGACTATCAAAGCGTTATTTATCAATAGTTCTTCAGGTTTTTAGTTTGTCTTTGGGCTTTTTTTTTCTGTATTTTTTTGGGAGAAAAGTACAATTATTTGTTCCTGGTTTAACATGGTTCTGCTTTTTGACTTTTTTTTTTTGCATAAAAGGCAGTTTTTTTGACTCGTTTTTTAATCACTTGTTTTTTTCCAGGTTGTGGAAGCAGCCAATGCCACCACCTTCAGCTGCCAGGTGAACCACACCAACCAGACGGATGTCCTGGTTCCCAGTTTCGACTCCCGGATCTACATGCTCTTCTTCCTGCCCTTCTTCATCCTCCTGGTTTTCACCCCCAACCTGAAGTTCTTGGCTCCCTTTTCTCTCCTTGCAAACGTGGTCATGACCCTGAGTCTGATTCTGATCTACATCTACTCCCTCATGGTAACCACCTCATTTATCTTTTATATGATTCATGTAATCTTTATTGCAAACTGACTCTCTGGGTTATGTTTACACATGTGGAAGATAAACAAATCAATCTTAGTTTGAAACGACGTGTGGCAGAAAATGCTCACACTGACTCATCTGTGCAGGCGGTGCAGTTGTGATGCCAGGATTTGCATATCTTGGCCTCATTTTGGGTTTCTGGTATATGCATTCCCTTGAGTCATGAGGATCAGTGGAGGTTCTGCTCAGTGGCGCAACTGCACATTATTCAGGTGGATGCGAAAACATGAATTCCCCCCCCCACCCCCCGAGGGAAGAAACTTCAGGGTGAAGGACCGATGCTCAACACCCCCCTCCCTCCACCCCCCGAGGCGACGCTGCATGAAGTGTAAAACTC